CGAGCACGTGAAAGTTTTGGTGGGGGAATTGTTATCTCGGCAACCAGGAAAGCTAGAAAGCTGAAATTTTGAGCTAGTGTTCCCTGCCCAAGTACAACTTACATATCTCAAATTTAGCCTTCAGATATGCGTGGTTCATACGTACAAGTACGCGAAAGTTTTGGCGGGGAAATTGTTAACTCGGGGACTAGGAAAGCTGAAATTACGAGGTAATGTTCCCTGTCCAATTACAACTTACGTATTCCAAATTTAGCTTTTATATATGCGTGATCCTCAGGTATGGACACTCAAAAATTTAGACAGTCACTAAACAGTTAGGTGACTTTCAAAGGTGACTTCTCTGTTTCAAAGCTGAAACAGAGAAGTGACAAAGCTGAAATTTTGCACGGTCACTCTCTGTGCATATGTGAGCGTAAGATTTCAAAGTCGGCTTGAACAGACATATACAGCTGGTATATGGACACGTCAAAGTTGTCATTAGCAACATGCCAATTTGGGAAATAAACTAAGAGGGCGTCTAACTTCACGAGAGTATTTATTTCCCATAATTGGGCAACCAGACTAAATATGAACTTCAGCGTGCACCTGGATCGTGAGTTCCAATGTGCCAAATGTTCCACGTAACAAGAAGCGATTCGCTTACCAGACATGCTGGGAAACTAAAACTACACGATGATATTCCGTGCCCATGTACGATCAAAATACTACAATTTAGGTCGTGCAGCATGCCAGCTCCAGCGGAAATTATAAGTTCCAGACAATGCTGTTATCAAAGTAAGGTGATACCCAGAGCGAGCAGGATGTAATGTTTTGTTGAGTACGTTTCCTTTCATGTGCGGATCTGTAGTACTGAAATAAATTTCCGGCTATACACATGGACGTATTTGATTTGGTATACTATCATCATCACTATCTCCCTCTCTCTTTCTATCTCTAATTACGCAAGAAAGATGTGGTTTTCCGGCAATGCTAGCATATCCCATACGACATCAAGTGCACGATATCGCCCTCCACTACTGTTTACATCCGTTATGCCTATACAGCGAAGTTCAGACTTCAAAAATGCTGACACCGTTGCATCTCCCTACTCGACGAAATGGTAAGTAATATCCCTAACTGAATATTTCCTGATTACGAGTGATTGCAAGAGCATAAATTATTTATGTATATCTGTGTTTCACCAAAGCAACACTTCACCGTTTGCATGTGGATAGGAGCGTCAGCATTCCAATACATTTCATGTTTTCAGGACAAATTTCGCCCTAACAAACTTCCTTTTTGTGCTACCTTTCGCCTAATTTGCTTCCATGTTTCGTTCAATCTGTGTTTTCAAAATGCGCACTGCGGCACCAACAATTCCACTTTCCGGTAAAGCATAACGTTTGAAAAATTTACATAAATGAAGTGTCGTCTTGAAATCCCACAAAAGGAAATGAAGAAGCCAACACCATTACTTCAGTTTCAATTTCTTCCTGCGAACGGTCGGGTAAGGTGATGCCCAGACCGAGCAAAGTGCACTGTTTTGCTGAGTACGTCCCCTCTTCACGTACGAATCTGTAGTTCTAAAATGTTGCTTTGGTGAAACATAGATGAATAAATACTTACTTTATGCTCCTGCAATCACTCACAATCAAGAAATATTCAGGGAAATAACTTACCACTTCGTCGAGTAGGGAGATGCACGGTGCCAGCAGTTCCGATGTTTGAACTTTGTTGTATCGGCATAACGGATGTAAAATTTAGCCTTCAGGTATGCGTGGTCTCCACGTATGGGCAACCAAAAATTTTGACAGTCACTGAACAGTTAGGTTACTTTCAGAGGACTTGTGAGCTAAAGATGAAAGCTGAAACAGAGGAGTGGCAAAGCTGAAACTTTGCACGGTCATTCTCTGTGCATATGTGAGCTAAAGATTTCAAAGTCAGCTTGAACAGACATACACAGCTGGTATACGAACACGTCAAAGTTGTCATTAGCAACATGCCAATTTGGGAAATAAACTAAGAGGGCGTCTAACTTCACGAGAGTATTTATTTCCCATAATTGGGCAACCAGACTAAATATGAACTTCAGCATGCACCTGGATCGTGAGTTCCAATGTGCTAAATCTTCCACGTAACAAGAAGCAATTTCGCATACCAGACATGCTAGGAAACTAAAACTACACGATGATATTCCATGCCCACGTACGATTAAAAAACTACAATTTAGGTCTCGGAGCATGCCCAGCTCTAGCGGAAAATGTTAGTTCCAGACAATGCTGGTATCAGAATAAGGCATCTCTCTGATTACGCAAGAAAGATGTGGTTTTCCGGTAATGCTAAAACATCCCATACGGCACCAAGTGCATGAAATCGCCCTCCACTAATGTTTACATCCCCTATGCCGATACAGCAAAGGTCAGACTTCAAAAGTGCTGGCACCGTTGCATCTCCCTACTCGAAGAAATGATAAGTAATATCCCTAACCGAATATTTCCTGATTATGAGTGATTGCAAGAGCATAAGGTAAGTATTTATGTGCATCTGTGCTTCACCAAAGCAACACTTCACCGATTGCATGTGGATATGAGCGTCGGCATTCCAATACATTTCATGTTTCCAGGACACGTTTCGGCCTAACAAACTTTCTTTTCGTCCCATCTTTAGCCTAACTTGCGTTTTTTCATGTTCCCAAAAAAGTAGCCGCATCTTTCAGCTCAGTCGCGCATAAATGCCACGTAGAAGGCAGTTTCGAGCACAACGACTAGTAAGTCGTGTTCATAGGCGACAGCGCAATAACGCGCTTATACGTCAGCGGCGCTCTAACGCTCACATCCGCGATGAAGGTGCACGGAATACAGCTGCGCAGCAAACAGTACGGTCGCAGCCACTTCCCACGGAGCACCCGACAGCTGCAGATGACAGCAACCAAAGCGGAAGCCTCAGTGCTCCATTTGTAGTATCAGGTAGCTTCAATTAATGTAGCTTGTTAATTTTTTTCAACAGCCACTGTCAATTTTCCAAAATCACTAATGCGACAAGCATTCAAGACGAGTGAAACCTAACATCCATACAGGAAATTCCTTCTCATTTGTCTGTATTAAAGTCTCCAACTATTGCAGATGCTCGCTCTGGAATAGCACTAAACGAAACGACACATACGCGCACCCATCCGGCGAGTCAACCAGCAACAACCGAAATAGTCCGAAGCAGCGAGCCAAGTCCGGGAAACGAGAGAAGGCTGCGAGCAGTAGAGAGAATGAGAATTCTCCGAAATGATGTTGGGCACACACTAAGAGAAAGAATGTCCAACAGGAATGCCATGAGAAATCGCAGACAAAATAATACCGAATACCGGATACGAGAGAGAGAAGCTGACAATATGGCAAGACGGGTTCGGCGAGAACGGGACCACATATACAGAGAAAGGGAAAGGGATGCTAATAGACTAGCGATGCAGTCTCGAAGGCAAACGCAAACCGAATACAGAGAACGCGAACGGCAAACGAATACCGAAGCCATGCAAACTCGACGCCAAGCAAATCCCAACTATAGACGGGATGAAAGAGGAACAAACAGAGAGGCGATGAGAGTTCGGAGAGAACGAGATGCCGCGTACAACGAGAATCAGCGTCGGTTGAATGTGGAAGCAATGAGATACCGGAGACAAACAGACGAAGAGTACCGGGAACAAGAAAGAATTACGAATGCTGAAGCAATGAGATACCGAAGAGATACGGACGAAGAGTACCGGGAACAAGAAAGAATTACGAATGCTGAAGCAATGAGATACCGAAGAGATACGGACGAACAGTACCGAGAAAACGAAAGACTTGCGCATACTGAAGCAATGAGATCCCGAAGGAACACAGACGAAGAGTACCGGGAAAACGAAAGAATAGCGAATGCTGAAGCAATGAGATCCCGAAGGAACACAGACGAAGGGTACCGCGAAAACGAAAGACTCGCGAATGCTGAAGCAATGAGATACCGAAGGGACGCAGAAGAAGAGTACCGGGAAAACGAAAGAATTGCGAATGCGCAAGCAATGAGATACCGAAGAGGTACAGACGAAGAGTACCGAGAAAACGAGAGACTTGCGAATGCTGAAGCAATGCAAAATCGACGGACAAACACAGATGCAAGGAACGATGAACGCACTAGGGACCGCGAAGCACGACAGCGTCAAAGAAGCAATTATGCAGCTGCTCTAATCACGTACGAAAACGCAATAAAAGAGGGTCCAACTTACGTCTGCAACTGTTGCGGGCGGTTAGAATTCAAGCGGTCCATTACTACTCTTCAACTTTCGGAGCTGCAACGGGCGAGCAGTGGAAATGAGGCGAAAATGATCCTTTTGGAGAATGTGTTTTACCTGCAGAAAACCGACCAAGCATTCTTCTGCAGAACATGCGCCCAAAGCATAAAAGCTTGGAAACAGCCACGCTATTGCCTAGCTAACGGTTTGGCTTTTCCCACAGTACATCCCACTGTTCGGGACCTCAACAGAGTGGAAGAGCGACTCGTAGCAGCCCGACATATTTTCCAAACAATTTGGCCATCCAACGGACCAACCGGACAATTTCGGTGCAGGGGAGGAATTGTTAACATCCCCGTTTCTGTGGACACAACGGTTTCGCTGCTACCCCGCGCCGCCACTGACACCCACGTTGTGCACGTCCGCATAGCAAGACGGATGGAGTACAGAGGAAATTACATATCTGGTAATGTGCGTCCAAGACGCGTCTGGGAAGCTGCTCTGTATTTATGTCAACAATCACTATATCGCAGCCACAACATTGACATTTCGGATAACTGGCTCATAAGATACGACCGCAATGAACCCCGGTTGGCCGACCCAAACATTGAGGCAGAAGAAGATGAGGAAGACGCCGACGATGCTGAACCACTCAATCCTGGTGTACAAGAAACGATGCTGCTGGAGGAAGAAAGTCAGCATGGCATAAGAATGGCTCCAGGAGAAACACAAAGACCGATTTCAATTCTACTGGATGAGGATACGGAATACCTCTCCTTTCCGACAATTTTCGGGGGTGAAAAATTGCATCCCCTATTTTGCGGTCGTCCAATGTCATATTCAGATACTGCCAAATCCTTTGCAATGCGATACGACCGTAGAGTAGCTAACCGGCCGGACTACCTCCTGTTCATGGCCAAGAAGATTGAACTAATGAAACTTTCGAGCAATATGGCCATATGTCTCAGAAAGAAAAAGGTGCGCGATCGTACTGACATTAATGCAGCAAATTTAATCAACAACGACTTCTTGCACGGATTAGTACGTCACGATGACGCTTTTCGTGTTCTCGAGGGAGTGCGAAATTCATGCACCCACTGGCACAACGAAAAGCTAAAGGTACTCGCAATGGTAAGGCAGTTCGGACTGCCAACCTTCTTCCTCACTTTGTCCGCGGCTGAAACACAGTGGCCCGAGCTACTGCAAATCTTAAAAAAAATTATCGACAACCAGACAGTAAGTGCAGACGAAGCACTCGCCATGTCCTACGCCGAAAAGGCCCGACTGATTCAAGCGGACCCCGTAACTTGCGCACGCTATTTCAATCACCGTTACAACGAACAAACAAAACTTTGGGGCCTTCCTGAAGGTCCATTCCAAGGCAGGGTTGTTACACACACATACCACAGAGTGGAATTTCAGCATCGCGGCTCGCCACATATACATCAACTCATTTGGTTAAGCGACGCACCGATATACAACAGTTCAACGGGTGAGAATGAGCTGGAAGTGTGCAGCTTCATCGACAGTATTATCTCATGTGAAAGTGCTCTCCACAGCGCAGAAGAGCCACAACTTCAAGCAGCTGCTCCATACACAAGGTACCAAAAACACACACACACACGTACCTGTCGGAAGCGAGAAACTGGAAAGTGCAGATTTGGGATCCCCTTCTATCCAATGCGTGAAACACGCATTCTGCAGCCCCTTCCGGATTCCACTGATCTGCCTCAGCGAGATCAGCTGCAAAAGCTAGCAGCACAAATAAGAAATGTGCTCAGCAATGATGAAAATGTACAAGGCCTCACTTACAATCAATTTCTGGATCGCTGTGAAGTAAATGAGGATAATTACCTACTGGCAATTCGGTCCGACCTTCTACGATGCAAAATTTTTTTGAGGCGCGAGCCACGCGACATAATGATCAACGCATATTCTCCAAAAATACTATCTACGATGAGATCCAACATGGATCTACAGTACGTGCTGGATCCATACGCATGTGCTGTATACATAATTGATTACATAAACAAATCGGACAGAGGAGTCAGTAGAACGGTTGATAATATTGTTAAAGAACTACGTAAAGGAAACAGCAGTTTGCGTGAAGCAATGCAGTCAATCAGCACAACTCACTATTGCACCACGGAACTATCAGCACAGGAAGCAAGTTACAACATTCTCCAAATGCCACTGTCCCACTGCTCCGAACAAGTAGTCTTCATACAAACATCTCCACCTGACGAGCGTGTACGAATACTCAAACCGCAAGAAGAACTGCGCATTCTTGATCCAACATCTCAGGATTGCTTCGTACACGGCTTGGTGGAGCACTACACGAAACGGCCAGTGCATTTGGAACATGTACCGCTTGCTGATTTTGCAGCCTGGTATCACATCTATAAAAGAATGCCGAGAAGTTCCGACGAAAGAAATGCGGCGGAGAGTGTTGATCCGACGAGTAACGAACAAGCTCAAGATAACAGTTTAAGTGGGCCGTACGAACCGTTACTGGATGGCAGTGCGTACATTCGTAAACGTACTCGACCAAAAATCATCCGATACAGGATGTACAACGTCGCCACCGAACCAGAACAGTTCTACAGGGAACTTGTCATGCTCTATCTTCCATGGAGAAACGAGGCGGATGAACTTCTCAATATTGACTGTCAAGTTCAATTCACTGCACACAGAGAGCAAATAATGCAGACGCGACAAAAGTACCACTACTTCCCAAGTACAGTGTTGCAGGAAGCTCTTCAGGAAGCGGAAAACAATGCGCAGGCCCGTGAGGTTCAGGATGAGGAGGACCGGAATGCGCCCACGTTCGACTTCGACAACTACTACCTTGAAGAGAATATTGTGGAGTCTGTTAACGGGACAGAGTACGAAAGAGTCCCGTATGCAGAAAACTTCCAGTTGCCACATCTGGTCCCGAATGCCGAGTTCGAACAGCTATTGAGCACGCTGAGCTACGAACAAAGAGATTACGTAATGCACATTGCGAATCATTTCAAACGCAGCGACAGACCCGTATATCACTTCATAACAGGCGGAGCTGGTGTTGGGAAAAGCGTTCTGATTCGAACAATATATCAGGTGCTGCTACGAATTTTTTCGCAACGGCTGGATCTCAATCCTGATTATCCCAGTGTTCTTCTGGCTGCACCGACTGGAAAAGCGGCTTTTAACATTAACGGAGTCACACTCCACACGCTTTTCCAACTGCCGGTTAATTCCAATCGTCTGACAGAATTATCCGCTGAAGTTTCAAATACCATGGCAACGAGACTACAGCACCTACAAGTGTTAATTATAGACGAAATTTCCATGGTTGGCGAACCAATGCTGCAAATGGTGAACATGCGACTACGTCATTTATTTGGTGATGTCGACTTCGGAGGAAAAAGTGTAATAGCTGTCGGCGATTTCCAC